TATAAACCTTTCAAGAACTCTTTTTTCAAATATTTGTGCTAAAAAAGACATAATACTCTAACTGTTTGATTCCTTTGTGTCCATCCCAAGTATTTGTTTCACAAAACCAAAATCTTTAATCTCAAACTCTGAAGTTAATTTTCTTTTAGCTCTTTCATTTCATTTTTATATTGGTTGGTTATAAGGATATTATTTATATACAAGAGCTAGAACAACACACTTCTTTCTTCTCTTTTTAGAATGTAGATGAAATAAACGTAACTACTCCTCTAGAACCACATTTGCCTCAAGAAATCATCAAATCTATTATATCAGTGTCTTCGACTCAGTTTCAAGCCATATAGTGATTTTCGCAAAAGAGACATATTTCCTTCATCTTCAACAAACCCCTAAGTTACTACATTTAGAGTCTCCTCCACATTTTCATATAATAAAATCATTTTAATGTCCAATTGTTCCATCATCAAATTGTTTTGTTTAACAATTGACATTAATGTTCTTATTGAGTAACATTTTATCATATGTGAGAAGATTTAATTATAGTTTATTCCTTCCCCTCCATTTGTGTAAAATCTTTCCCTTTCACTTCTTCACACCCAATATTCCTTTCTTCTAGCAAGTCGAGCTCTCCTAACTTATCTCCTCTTAATAAGTTTTGTATGCCTAGCTCCACCAAACATCTTTCACTAATGTGTCCCAACATAAAATGTCACAATTTTGTCTTATCTTATATTGTATGACTAGCTAAACAAATGCACAATTATTGTTGAAATATCTAAAAATGTAAAGATTAATCTATTTTGCCCACTTAACAAACATAAAAATCTTTATAGTACCTTGTTCAATCTTGGTTAACTATCTCATATTTACTCAATGTAAGACTTAGACTCACAATTAAATTCCCAATAATTTCCACCTAAATTATGAATCCTTTCATATTAGTATTTTTTCCTTGAGCTAACCATGAGTACCCCTTTATTTGTACATCATTCATCAAATGGGACACAATTGTCTGGCCTCCATAAAGAAAACATTCGATGTAGGGATTCATTTTAAGTTGGTCACTAATACTAACATTTAGCTTTAATGCCACTAATAAATCTTTCGAGGAAGAGTCATTAGAGAGATACAACACTAATAAGACATGAGTTCAGCTAACATAAGAGAATAATAGGTCTATCAAGGGTGGATATCACTAGAGAGACACAACAATAATGAGACTTAAGCCTAATCCTCATCAGGGGTTGACATCAATTCTAATCCACTAGTACCCCTTTTATACCACCATTCATCTTAATGGACACTCTTATCTATATCCTTTATTAAGAATACTTTTGATAAAAGGACCATATTGTACTCGTATGATTCGGTTACCAAGACAAATCATCGACTCTATACCACTAATGGATCTATCAAGGAGAGAATTTTATGTGAAAACACAACAAGAATGAGATTTGAGCTCAACCCACATAAGAGAGTGACACCACTTCTAACCCAAAACTTTTAAGATAATTGATTTATGGGTCTTTTACCTTATATGTAGTTCAACTTTATTATTTGTATCCAAATGTGAAAGTTAGACTCATCTAGAATCCTAAGAGAATATAACATTATTTCCAACCTAAAACTTTTAGACAATGAATTTATAGATATTTTTTATATATAATAGTCAACTTTTTCATTTGAAAGTTAAACTCAAACTTAAATTCCAAAAGTATGAAATATTTATTATTAATAACTAATATTAATTAGGATGAACATGACAACATATAATCTGATTCATTTCCAGAACTATTTAAAAATAATATCCGAATGTAAAAAGAATGAAGTGTTAATGTAATTTTAATTTATTATTAATTAATGAAAACTGAGAACAATAATTATTTAATTTCTATTACATGACATTTTTTTCATCCATTATAGTAAGTGATATTTTTTAATTTTTGGAGTGACATAATTCAGCAAACCTTGTTAGGTAACGAGACATTTGGTCAAAGTCCCTCTACGTGGAGTTGCAATTATAATTTTTTGATGATTAAGAATTAGCTAGCCATTGTTTTCCTCAAGAAAGGTAACCCTATGTGTTTTTTCTTTTTTCACATGCTGCCCATCAAAGCTTTGCCTCATCCAATTTTCTTCCCATTCACTAATTCATTTTAAATCAATTTTAAATATTAATATGCATGTGGACTGAGGGTAGAATCCAAAATTGGCAAAATTATCAAAGGAAATATTAACAATTAAATATGATTATATTAAAAAGTGTCCTTTAATTAATTTGTTGATAAAAAGAAGGGAAGACTGTGGAGCTTATCATTGACTTTATGGCTCAAATTGGTTGCACATGGGTCAGTAATGATATTCCTTAAACACCTTATTATTATATCATAAAAGTTTATATTAATTATATGAGTTAGACTTGGACAACAATAATCTTATCAACTACTAAAATTTCCCTTCAACACCTTATTCTTACAAAATATATTCCAAATTAGAAAAAAAAAAGTTTCAGAGTGAAATTAACAAAGCTAATTAATGGAGTAAGTACTTTTGTAACTGTCAATGAAATTATCAAGGAAAAGCAACATTTTATAAGTAAAACTGAAATAAAGTAAGGAATGACACTAATGAAACATTCAAATGAAATATAAATGCCATTGGTAAATTAATTCCACTAAATGATCAATTTTCTAACTGACTATTACCATTTATTTATCTGTGTAATTATGATTGGTGTAATTGTATGCGTTAAAAATATATATTTAAACCTCATAAATGAGCCTTATATATTTCCATCCTAAAGTAATTTGTAAAATGTAAAATAAAGTATAAGGAAAATGTATAATAGCCCGAGTTTTTTCTTATATATATTGCAAAGAAGTTGATAACCTTTATTCACAGTTATTTTAGACTAAAATGACTTTTCCTCAATTTAACATTCTTATTTTTTTTCCACGGTAATTTGTAGTTGTTAAATTTTTTATATCATACACTATTGGTATATAATCATTTCTATTTATATGCGTGAATAGTAGAACTTCCAATCTTATATCATAATTTTGTGTGTGTGTGTGGATATATATATATATATATATATATATATATATATGATGTGTGCGTTTTATTTGAACAGCTTATTAATTTATATTTTAATCGTCTCAAGATTCTTAATCTTAAATATTTTACATTTTAAAGTTAATGATGCGTATATGATAACATCTAGTTTGTCCCATTCTGTAAAAATTTGTTTTTAAGAACTAAATATACTGGTACATTAATCTACAAAATTTCATTTTTAATATTTTTGTGATATATTTAATGTTATAATTTTATTAGTTTTTTTCAAATTTTTAAAGCAAAAACATATTTACTGTGTAAAAATAGCAAATTAATGTTTTTTTTTCTTTCGTAGAGTACATTTCTCATGAAAATAGTTTTTTGTTTTCTACTTTATAAGCATTAATTAATAACATGACCATAACTTTAATTATATTAGTATTTTATTGCGTTTTAAATCCCATGATTATAATTTATTTGTTGTTTAAAGCATTTCTTCCACTAAATCTAAACTAGATATAAAAATGTATACTTGTTAAATTTATTTAATTGTGTGCATTTACCTTCTAACTTAAAATGTATTTTTTGTTATATTCTATCTTTTGTTTAAATTTAAAAAAAAAAATTAACATACACAAATATTTGTTGATTAGTCCTTACTTGATTCTTGCTCATTTTTCCTTTACAAAAAAAGAAAAATATTGCATACATTAGTTGATCAAGATACTATTATATTTTTTTAAGAAAAAATAAGTTGCAATTTTTTTTCCTCAATTTTAAATTAATAAAAAAAAGGTAGAAGCAGCATGCTTCCTAATCTTGCATCCAAATGAAGAATGAATTGACTGAGCATAGCACACCCACATAATTACTAATGATAAATCTAAGTAATTTATTCTTAGAGATCTTAGCTTATAGGCTAATCATCAAAAAGGACATGGAGCTCCTCCCACCTGTAATCATCGTCCGAATGTGCAACTCATCACTTCATATGAACTTTGCCTTCATAAACAATAATCAGAAACACTAATAAATCAAATTTTATGTGGATTCTATATCTTAAATAGATTTTGTAGAGCCTCTATTTCTGATAACTTCCACGTTCATGTACTATCCCATAATTTCATTCAAACCCTCACATGCACCAACTTTGGACTATATGAAGTTTATTCCTACACAATATTAAATTTTATTTTCTCTATTTTAAACAATCCCAAACTAATTTGATTGGACGAATAATCATGTAATGGGGTATCTAGGAGAACATGCTTATCATTAGTCATTTCGATTTCTAATTATGCTACCCACTAATTATATAAACTCTCTTTTCTCACCTAAAAATAACATATTCATAATTATTATTTCGTCCTTGTTTTTCCTCCCATCATTTGAAACTCATTTCTGTAAAAATAGTTTTTTTTTTATCAAGTTTAAATGAAATGGCAATCATCATTTAAAAAAATATTTAGAATTGAATAATTAAAAAAAAATTACCAATGTTTAATTTAACCTGCATTTTACATAATTAAAAATGAACTTTTTTTGTGAACGTTTGATGCCCCCTTAAGAGTCAAATATGGATTCTGTCACCCATTGTGTCCTTTCATTGCTCCCTTTTCCCTTTCTGAGCGATACATTAGATTACTCAATTATGAGACCACAGTATGGCAAATTATGAAAGCTAATAAGTACTTATGAATAAAGCGATAAAGCTTCAAGAAGCTTAAAAAGTATAAGTTATTATTTTCCCTTCGATTTTATTTTTTATATTTTAATCAGATTAATTATTATTACACTACAACATATATATAAACTCGGTTAGGAATTTATAAATTAAAAGTCTCGTATGGATCATCTTCCATAAAGAAAAAAAAAAGGCACGTGCTCACAGAAGGAAGGGCAAGATGGGAAAACAGAAGAAAGCGAGGGCAGAAACGAGAATGCGCTCACCCCAAGTGTGTCTTATTTAAACCAGAGACTCGACCACAACAAAACAAACTCACCATTACCAAAAAGAGAAAAAACGAAACACTGAAACGCTTCGTTTCATTCATTCAGTTTCTTTCACCAACCTTCCACGATGAACCCGCGAACGACGTCGTCATCGTCGAAGACGAAGAAGAAGCAAACGGCACCAGAGCCGCACCATACGGCATGGGGCGGGAGATACCTCGGCGTGCGGCGGAGGCCGTGGGGACGGTACGCGGCGGAGATTCGCGACCCTTCAACCAAGGAGCGGCACTGGCTGGGCACCTTCGACACCGCCGACGAGGCCGCACTCGCCTACGACCGAGCCGCACGTGCCATGCGCGGATCACGTGCGCGCACCAACTTCGTCTACGCCGACACCACTCCCGGCTCATCCCTCACCCCCATCATCTCCCCCGACCAACAACCCCTCCCTCAACCCGACCCGGTTCTAACCCTGGACCCGTTTTCCCTGCTGGGGTTTTCCTCCGGTTCTTCCTCCTACGATGAAAATGCCTCGGCCAACGTGGCAGCCTCCCACTTCAGCCAACAACCGTTTTTCGCAAATAATGATAACAATAATTATTACAATAATAAGAATGATAATGAGAACAGTGGGAGCACGGTGGAGCTTCCTCCATTGCCACCGGATATTACAAGTTCCATGGGTTACGTGATGGAACAGCAGAGTGATGGATTTTATTGGGAGAGTAGTCCAATGTTGGGTGCAATGTCAACAGTGTCAGAGAATGTTAGTGCAGAGTCTGAAGTTTTTGAGTTGGGGAGCTCCTCCTACTTCTTCTTCTGAGAGTTTATTCTAGGAAACGATAATGATGCATGGTGTGTACTAGAAGAGTTAGTTTGGTGGGTTTATGTCTGTATCCGTGTTCTGTGTGCCCGTGTTGTTTTTGTTGTTTTCTCATTTGGGTCGTGGAACGAGACTTTGCGATCGTGAATGGGGGAAATAGTGTTATTATTTAAGACCTGGGTTTGTCTTCCAGAGTGCGTAATGTAAAGTGTTACGTTGCGACCAAATGGTGAATATAACCATCATTTTACGTTACTTTTGTTTTGTTCGGTTCTTTTTCCACAACCACAGACCAACACAACTTACGTGCTGTATTTTAGTTACTTGTTTTTTCTTCTCAAATTCAAATTAACCATGTAATATTCTAATGCTATTTATTTCATTATATTAATAATTTAACCTATGCTTTATCTCTCTCTTCAACTTATACATCTATGTCTAAAGAAAATTTTCCTTTTCTTAATGTTTAAATAATGGAATTTTTCATTTCATTTGATTAATCATTTAATCTATCCTTTATCTCTCTTCAACACAAGATGTACATGTCTAAAGACATTATTCCTTTTCTTAATGTTTAAATGCTTAAAAAAGTCTTTTTTTCCCCTTCAATGTGAATGTGACATATCACAAATACTATGCCATAATGTTATATTATTTCCACCTTCGATGAAAGAAAGAGTTTTTTCTTCTAATCTTTCATATATAAGGGTTCATCTAAAAGGAAAGGGAGGAAATAAAGATAAAAATAGTGTGATAAAAAAAATGTCTGAATAGTTAAAAGGGGGAAAAATGTTCTTCAATTAATTAAGCTTATTGCTAAATTTTCCTACACATTCTAGTCTTTAATATGATATAATTAGTACTAAATATAAAAAGTAGAAAAGTTCAAATATCATTTGCATTTGTTAAAAAAAAATACATTTACTCACTAATTAATTAAGGCTAAAAAAACTTTAAAGTAATAAAAAAATATAGATTGTAAAATAATTCTAAAATTGTAGAAAACAATAAATTGATTCAATGAATTATATGGTAAAGACTCCATCAAGGTTATGTTTCATGATACAATTTAATGCAAAAACATCAAACAATATACTTCTAATTTTTACTCTAGCATTCATACTACATGTAAAAAAATCTTAGTGTCTTAGGGTCAAGCCTAAATGTTAAGAATAAATATTGTAATATTTTAGCGATTTTTATTATAAGTTTGCATTATGTTCAAGATTATGATGTTATGAATGACTAATTATTTCACATCTATGCATGTGAAATCTATTAGGTGTTCTATCCTAATTTTGGTTTTCCAAATTAGTTTTCAATTAATAGGTATTATCAAATATGTCAACCATAAGCATACAGTTAAGAAGAATAGAACACAAGAGTGGTAGAAAAGAAATATATTGAATAATAGAAATCACAAATATTGTAGATGCATTACATCCAAATCCCGTGAATAAGGGAGTTAGTTACTCCTATACATTCTAAACACTAGAAAAGATTAACGAGGAATGTCTTGAGCCTCCAAAATGAGTCTTTGTCGTATTTCTCTTAGATATAGGTGTTTTATAACTCTCTCAAGCCTCCTATTTATAGAATCGAGGCAAGTTTGCTAGAACTCAAGTAAGCTTGAAATTTGTACTTGATATTTGTAATTGAAGTAATCAAATTTATAAACAACTAATTTTGTTGAAATATTTTTTAATTATTTATATGATTTTTGTAATTGAAGTAACCCAATATAATGATAACTTATTTTGTTGAGATATTGTTCAATATTTAGTGATTTCCACTTATCTGCATAAGATTTTCATAAATAAGAACTAAATATTTTTATTTCCCAATTTATTAAATAAATACCTTAATTCTTTAAATAGTAATTATAAAAATATCAATAAAAGATAAAAATAAACAAAACAAAAACAATGATAATGACAATTATGCCTGACACGTAATGTTTTTTAACATGAGGGATTAAAAGGACTATATCCATTTTTTTAAAAGTTTAGGGACCAAAATGTATCAAAGTTTTATATCGAGATTGTTCTTGATGAGACTACTCTTAATCCCCAAACCTCTCTTAGTCTCCTCTAGTAATCTTTTGTTCGTTCTCCTCATTTTTGTCCAATCATGTACTTGTAAAAGGTTCTTGCTCAAGTAAGTGTTTGATTTTGAAAGGTTCAACAAGTCTAGATGGTTCAAAAGTATTAAATAATTTACCTACATGTCCTATTTATAGTGTTCTTGGTGAGAGAGCCAAATTATGGCCTAATAGCTCTCTAACATTGTTTAACATGGTAATCTTCTTATTAGGCTTTCTACATTTACCTTGATGCGGATCGATCGGTAATAAAGGTCGATCCCGTTAATAATGACTTGACCGATTAGTTACTTGACATATATACTAACCTTCCAAGATCGAGCACGTATGTATTAGAGCGAGGGTTTTACAAAAAAAAGAAATCATGTTGAGTGATTGATATATTCTTCTTATATTAATGGTTGACCGTTTGGTTCTTTAGGGACTAATTCTAATTTCGGGTAAAATTTAGAAACTAAAAGTATATTTAATTGTTAATAAAATAGTTAAAAAAATATTTTTTTTATTAATATAATAATTATAAGCAATTAGATGAGGGTAAAAAATATCATTTAGTTTAGTATAATGACTTTATCACACTATAAAAATTATGATAATAAATGATAATTATCTAACGCATTTCAATATATAGAAATTTAGATAAAGAAAATATTATAAATATAAGAGTTTACCATTTCATGATGTTCATTATAATGACTTTATGATAATATCGATAATGATATCAAAATATCTACATTTAAATTTTTAAAAATTGAAATTCAATATATATAGTTCTTATATACATGTTATTCATGATGCAATGTATCATGTTTCCCTTCTTTTAAAATTTTCCCTAAGATTTTTCCCTAAAATTTACCTAAGGTTTCTTTCTGAACCACATTTGTATCTGTACTCGTGATATCATAATCCAAAATGAGAGTTCTTAATCGTTGTTTTACTTTCTATGCAAAGACTGCTACATATAATTTTCCATGGGGTTTTTTAAAGTTGTAATATATTCATTACATTAATTTGAGGTTATAAAAATATAAATACAATTTAATACGAATATTTTATTTTATAAAATTAAATAATAATAGTTTGGTTTTTTTTGTAATATATAATTATTTTGAATAAAGATTGAGTTAGTATGTCATAACCAGTAAAATCCAAACACGTGTCGTTAGTGGAATTCACGTGTCAAGAGGAAGGCTTGACACTCAGGTGACGAACGCCAGGTGTCAAGCGAAGGAGACCCGGAAAATCAGTTAGTGGAAAGTATGTGTCGACTGAAGAGGGGACGTTTGTTATGACGTGTGCAGCAAAACTTGGATTTTCAGAAAATCTGCTCCACTCTCTATATGCACCCTCTTTTCATGTTTCTGAAGAACCTCATTCTCCCCTCCTTCTCTCTACATCCTCTTCATCTTCTCTCTGAGTAAACACTCACTTTCTCTTCTCCGATCTCCATTCAGGCACCGTAGGAGCACTTCCAATGTCCCAAGCTTTAGTTTGATCCGATTGGTTTCAAATTCTGAACTGGTAAGTTTTCCTTGTCTTTAACCGTTCGTTCTTGAAAACATGCAAACCAAGTTCTGGTTGCATGGGTCCTTAGTTTCATTCTGAACGAGTTTGGACTGTTGTTTTATTTTGGTTCGAAGAGTTGTTGAGCGTTGAGGGTAGAAAGGATCGTAGTTCGGCGAACTGAGTCTCAGTCTGTAGGACGTACGTTCACGCTCAGAGGTAAAGGAAGCTTATTTAATTTAATTTGTAATTGTATGTTGTTGTACTGGATGAACGTTCATTATTTGACTGAATGACTTTGATGCATGATGATTGGTATGATTAGATTGCATGAACGTTCGTTTGTTTAATGAGTGGAAATGAAATATGGTTGAGTTATGCATGAAAGATATGAACCTTATATGATATGGATTGTATGAAGTATGAAAGTTGATCATGATATGAATGTATAAAGTTATGAAACTATATGTTAAGAAAGGAGATAAATACAAATAAATTCTGAATATGAAATTTCTCATATGAAAGTGTACGTTCGTAACTGAACGGTTATTGACCGTTCGGTTCTTCTGGTAAACATAGTGGAAATGGGATTCTTTCATTTGGAGAGAATCCTAGTTGAGGACGAGCGTCCTCGTGTGGTAACACTATGCTTGAGCGTTCGGCCAAGCACAGTTGTATCTGGGTATCCTGTGATAACTTAAATCTTTATATATATGTAATGGTATATTTTCGTTGTTCGTAAACACTACTTCTATAGTATCTGACTATATTTATTAAGCCTTTTATTTTAAGTTCATTAGTGCTCGGTCTTACACCAAGCGCTCGTACAGAGTAGTGCTCGGTCCTACACCAAGCGCTCGTTCTCGTTTCTTATATAATTTATTTTGATGGAAAGTAGCGTTCGTCTAACTTAAATAAAATCTTCTCCTTCACCGTGCTCGGTCATTGACTGGCATTCGGAATTCTTGATGTAAATTTAAATAAGCTAAAGATTCTTAAGCGTTCGGTTTCTTCAGGTGAATCCTTCTAAGTATTCTACTCTGAAAGTCTTGAAGTGTATACGTCCATTTGGTTTCGGCTTA